TCTCAAAATTATGGTATCAATACTCGTGAGCATTGGTGGAATGACCCGCCGTTTGCTTCGCAGCCCCGTTTTCAGTAAAATTTGCTGCACGATGATTTGGGATCCCCTTTTGATTCGATTGGACGGTGGATTGTTCTACGACAGCATACCGAACGGCGTGCTCCAACATGCGTAATCCGTATTCACTCTTACATAAATTACTTGTGGGGGAGTATAGCTTTCACGTCGAGTTTTAGGAAAGACTCCTCTTATTATCCAGCTCTCTTAATGAAGATTACATAGCAAGCTTTGAAGATGCATTATTCACCTGTAATGGTTTCACTATAATTTCCATGACAAGTAGCGAGCAGTGGCGTGCCATCAGTGGACTAGAGTGACTTGGCTAGTCTCCTCATATTTTATGCTTGAACACTTTCAATAACATCATTTTTACCTAAGCCTCCTCATATTTTATGTATTGACACTATGAAGAACATCATTTTTAGCTAACATTCAAAAGCATCAAAAGAAACACCATTTTACCTCTTTTGAAAAAAACGTATCATTCGAATGTAGTGGGGTTTTCTCGCGAAAGGGAGGACATTGAATTTCTTTGGCTGTAAGCCAAAGAGGACTAGCTTGCTTTAACCTGTTTCATGGGTCCTGTACACATACTGTTAACTACTGGTGATAAGTCAAAAGAAATTTTAATTTTCTCGCGATTCTTATTAGCTAAGTTAATTTAACTTTTATCGCTATGTTGTAGTTCGCCTTCATGAAAACATTCTTATGATATATGAAAGAATTCGAAATAAAATATATTGATGCAGTAACTCCAAGATGCAGTAACTACGGAAAGAAAGCGGTGTGAAAAGCTAGTCCTTATTCAAGAGATAATTATAAAGGATGTGCTATCAATCTTTTAAGACGTTTTATGACAATGCTGTCAGAAGCTGTCAGTGTTGCAATCCTATGGTGTCGATCGCTTGTCTGTCATATTCTTTGGGTTAATATATTTAAAAAAATCATGATAAAAAGCAGATCTCCACATTTTCTCGATTGTACTAGCAGAAAACATTATATCCATCATTCCAAAGTGGAATATTATATAATTTTAAAACAATGAAAATAAGAAATAATCCGTTTTGCTGATCTTGTGATCTTTCTTACGTAAAATGGTTCAAACTAAATATTTAGTATGACATCCGTCAGATTAAAAAAGTTACTTATTTATCACGGTACAGTCACTTGCCCTCTTTATCCGATTTTCATAAATAAGATTTTATAAAATAAAATAAAATTTCATAATTCAGAGCATATTAACCATTGTTATAGTTATTAGTCACCAAATTATATTGTTAGGATTCGCAATCAAATGCAATAAACCATGTCGTTATTATCACCTATCTAAGATGACCTAATCTGAAAGTGACCAGTTTTCCCGAGAGCATAGATAACCATTAGTACTGAATTTCACCCTTCTAAGAAAAGCACCATCGTCCGTTAGCGGTTATCTTAGAGACGGTAGTAATTTTTCTTCATATCTAGTCCTCATCGGTTAAAATTACGGCATGCCAAATGGGAACCAGTTATACATGTTATTGCTTGGGAAAACCAGGTGTAGAATAGGTAAAGTGTTAAAGCTTAGGTTGGAGCCTTGATACATTCCTACTTTGGTACTTCTGAAAGTTGAAGAACGCACATTTACTGTTGACAATAAAGATCTTATGCTGAGGAAGGAGTTAATGAGAGGTATCATTTTTGTGTCAAAGTTGAACTCCATCATTATCAGGTGAGAGACCTTTTCCACGTTTAATATAAGGAGAGTCTAGCATGATAGTCATCTCAAAAATATTCCTTGGGATGACGAGAAGCCTATTGGCATATCCTAGTTTATGAAGCAAGAATATGTCATTGCATACATTAAGAATAACCATAAACTAAAAAAAAAAAAAAAAAAAGTTATCTGTGTTTAATCGCCTTCGAATCGATAAACTTTTATTATTAGTCTATGCCAGGCAAAGGCTGTATTTTTGTCATATTTTAAATTTCATGTTGGCGTGCTTCTCTTCCAATTTCATCTTTATTGATTTGATTAATCACACCTTGAATGGTTATAATAAAAAATTCGGTCCTATTCTTAATCTTACTTTCTAGATCTGTGTTACACTTAGTCTTATTTTAGATATTTTCTGCCTCTGCCATGTTCGTGTATGCTCATTTGTTACATGTTTGAAATTCTGAATTTTGTTGCTAAAAGATACAACTATGTTTATTTTTCAACAGCAGGATAGTAGTATGTTTGCATATGATCGCATCAATTCACTGCCTCCATGCTGTTGGGTATGCTGGTTAGCGGAACCCAGTGTCATATCTTTGGGCCTGAGTCCCAAGCCTAGAGAAGGCATGGATGTCTATAATTATGCATCCCTCTTTGTGGTGCAATATCCGTCAGTTCCTGCGATGCACCTGAGACAACATTCTTGGTGAACAGACGTCTAAATGATTGTGGATTTGGGCATTCCTGCTTTGTTGGCTTTTACTAGAAGCGTGTCTGAAGGTCAGTAGTATATCTCGTGTAAATCAGACGAGGGAAGAAAATTAAAGAAATAAGAAAAAGTATTCCTTTTTTAGGAAATAAGTTAGGTTACTTAGATGAGTTTCGGATGATCTGGTAACACTTGGGCATAAAATTTTTTGAAGAAATTCCAAGTGGAACAAGAAAGTACAGAAAGACTTATCAAGTGAGTATAGAAACGCAGTCTCTCGAAATATCAGGTGAAGATGTCCTGTCTTTGACGATATTTATTATAGTGTTTTAATAGCTAAACAAATTTAATTAAGGGAACGAGTAGTGCTGTTATATGGTTGGGTGCTATTTTTCCGAATATCTGTGTTTAGTTTACAAATTTTTGGAAAAAAAAGTGGCAAGCCAGAGGAAACATTATGCAATTAACTAAACGAAGCTAATTGCATATTTAGAAGATATTTTGAAAATTTCTTGAATTAATCGTGAGCATATTTACGCGGTAGCTTTGCAAATCAAATGATTGGGAACATCGAATATATTCCAAAATACGGCTTAGCATTTAGGGGGGGAGGGACTGATCCGTTTTGTTGTTTGTCAGTCACGGTGCATAACGTTTTTATTCATACACCTTAAATAACAGTCTCTGCTTTATTTTCGGTAACTGCCAATGCAAGCGCAAGAATTACGTAATAAAGTTTTTAAAATACATTTAACATTATAAAATGGAAATACATTTAATTTATTTTGATTGAGCTCTGACCGTAGTATAACTAACAAGAGGATGCCATCGTAAAGGAAATTCGAGAATTTACTGAAGGAAACTTTCAATTTATCAGTGCCTGCATCTGTAGAATGACAGGTGTCAAAATGATAGAGATTGTAATGATGATGAGTACGAAATTAAGAAGTGGTGTGATCAGTTAAATTAAAGAATGATAAAAAATGAAAAGAATACAAATAAACTATTAATCTCCCTTTATTTAATGTTTCTAACAGGATTTTTCAAAGGGTCAGTATTTAAAACATCAAACGGGGACGATTAATGAGAGCCGAAAAACATTGTGGAGAACTCTTTATTATTATTATTTGTCCACTGGCCCAAGAGCTACCAGCTTTCTCCACTAGGGAAAATTCCTGTTCCTGACTGCCGTCAGTGAAGCACGTGCTCACCTCTCTTCCGCTTCGTGATGTCTTCGTAGCTGTGATATGACTTTCATGATTTTTTACGTACGTGGACTTGCTACCTATAAAAATGCTTATCGTGCGAACTGTAATCAACGTGATTGTGTATCAGTGAACGTGTATTGAAATATATATCTTTTTCTAATTGTTAAATAAAAATGTTAAAATGCTCGAGGCAAGCTATCATCGTTTTATCTGCAGCAACCCAAAGATGGCATCCTTAGACGAAAGCCATAAAGGGTGACCCGGACGTGATTTGGACACGCAACCTTCTGAACCCAAACTTCACTGAATGAACTCTTAAAAATTCACGTAAAAATGATAAACGCTCCGTTCCTTGGAACGACGAACTGAATCAGTCATTTGAAAATGTAAATACGACCTTATTAATGCTGCAACTCTCTCCTATCACTCTCCTAACCAAAAGCTGAGTATTATGATAGACGCTTCTGACATTTCCATCCGAGCTGTTTTAAGCATTCGACACTCTAGTAACTACCAGCCGCTAGGATTTTTCTCACGTAAGCTGTCCCCCACCGAACAAAAGTACAGCACATATGACAGAGAGTTATTATTTATTTATGCAGCTATAAACTATTTCAGGCATAATCTCGAAGGTCAACACTTCACTATATTTACTGATCACCGACCTCTAACTTATTGTAAACAAATGTCTTCACATCAAAATCAAATTCTGCTTTCCCTGAGACAAATTCGGCATTTAAATTACATAGCTCAGTTTCAGCACAGATATTCAGCATATATCAGGTTCCAGCAATGTCGTCGGCGATACTACTCTCTCGCATATTCAAGGCATCGAATGCCAATGCACCGCTGGATTTCACTGTGCTTATTGCCCACTCGCAAGCCACCGAATGAACATTAAAACGTCTGAGTGAAGACTCAAACTGCTCATTGAAATTCCAGTCATTACAACTTACTCAGGGATCTTCCAACTATTGTGCGATACCTCTAACAACAGACTTTCGACCTTATGTACCACTTTACTTGAAGAAAAAAGTTTTTGACTGTTTCCATAATCTCTCGCACCCAGGTATCCGGGCTTCCAAAAAGCTCATACAAGAAAGATTCGTTTGGCCATCCATGCTAAAAGACATTGCCAATTGGACTTGTTCCTGCATCATGTGCCAACATTCGAAAGTTACCCGGCACACACATAACCCTTTGGAAAAAATCGTGATGCCCTCCGAACGATTCGACCATGTTCATATAGACATCGTCGGTCCTCTGCCACCATCTGACGGTTATCGATATCTACTCACCTGCGTTGACAGACTTACTCGTTGGCATGAAGCTTTTCCCATTCAGGACATCTCTGCTGACTCTGGCTCGACAATTCATCTCCGGTTGGATTGCACGATTTGGTATACCATCCATTGTGACAACTGATCAAGGTCGACAATTCCATTCCCACTTTTTCGCCTCTCTGACATCTATGCTTGGAATACGCCGAATTCGCACTTCGTCATACCATCCTTCCGCCAACGGCATAGTGGAACGTTTCCACCGCGACTTAAAAGCAGGTCTAAATTGCCATAATGACCACCCGTGGACTACATCACTCCCTCGTGTGCCTCTTGGTTTACGTTCTTCCTTCAAGCAAGACCTCGCATGTACATCCGCTGAACTTGTCTACGGCACAGCCCTTCAATTACCATCTGAGTTCTTTCAGCCATCCTCTGCTCCAGTCTATCCAGCATCCTTTTTCCAGACTTTCCGAGAGGCGATGAAGAAGCTGTCTCCGACTCCTACATCATGCCACAACAAATCCTCCCCATTTGTACACCATGCACTAAGCACTTGCACTCACGTGTGTGTGCGAAACGATGCGGAAAAATCACCACTCACTCCTCCATACGATAGACCCTTCAAGGTCTGTGCACGTAACAATAAACATTTTACTGTTGTCGTGCGCGACAAGGAAACCGTTCTGGGAATAGACCGACTGAAGCCTTTTTTCTTCGAAGCTTCAAACACTCAGGTTCCTGTGACCAGCAATCCTCCTGCTTCCCCGGACCCAACTGTTTCTCCCAGATGCTCTTCCTTCGATCGACCTTACGCTTCCTCCCAGTGCTCCACCAGTTGTCACACGATCGGGAAGACGTGTGCGCTTCAACACCAGGTATTTGTGAACTGGTTCTTTCATCGTACCTTTGGTACTCGAGGGGGGGAATACTGTGATCTCTTTTATTATTATTTGTCCACTGGCCCAAGAGAGGTCGCTACCAGCTTTCTCCCTCTTCTCCACTAGGGAAAAATTTGGACTGCTTACTCTGTTCCTGGCTGCCGTCGGTGAAGCACGCGCTCACCTCTCTTCCACTTCGTGATGTCTTCGTAGCTGTGATATGACTTTCATGATTTTTTTACCTACATGGACTTGCTACCTATAAAAATGCTTATTGTGCGAACTGTAATCAATGTGACTGTGTATCAGTGAACGTATATTGAAATATATATCTTTTTCTAGTGTTAAATAAAAGTGTTCCTCGAGCTAAGCTATCATCGTTTTCTCTGCAGCAACCAAAAAATGGCATCCTAAGACGAAAGCCATAACATGTTTCATTCTTCTCGACATTATATGACTAACGTGACCATTTATTTTTTGACTCAAAACGAGACATTGGTTATTTAGGTCAAATTATAGGTAGTCAATGAAAAAAACAACGCTTTTTTAAAGTTATTTATTCAGAAAAAGTTAGTTGGCTTAAAAGTTACGAATCACAAAATAGATCCCAAATGTTTAGTTATATTATTTATTAGAAGAACAAATTTGTTTTAATATAGCTGGTGACGATTAAGTAAGAATAAACTCTTGGCACATTTTTTTTTATATTCACCTTAATTTCATCAACATCGCCTTTAGAACTGAAATTTTTTAACTGGTTTTCTCAGATGTCCACAATTGTTCATAACAGAAAATACTCTTTCTACTGGAGCATTTATAGCAGGCAATCATAAAATATATTCAATTACAATAAAAAAAGTTTTCATGCTGAAGATTGTTGGCGCGAAAGTGTTTGAATACTTCCACCCAACGGGTTTCCGTGGAAACATTTAAATTATTCCATTCCGTTATTTTTTGCGATGTAATGTAATTAGAAATTAATGAAAATTCGTCAAAAACTTCAGTATCTTTATTACAGTCAATATATTGCTTTTCAATTAATACATCCAGAGATTTTTGAATGTCTTCCCAAGTGGGGACCTTTTTTAAATCTGCCCAATAACATATCTCCATTTCTCTGGTAAGAAAGCAAGTCCACTGATCCAGATACTCACGGCTTGTTTTATAAAATTCTGTAGCCGTTCTTTTCACAAATTCTTCATCGATATCAGTACCACTATCTTTCAATTTTAACATTAATTGACGAACCATAAATGGAAGAAACTGATTGGTCTGTTTCTGAGTTAAATTGTCTTTTAGTTGATTGATTTCTTTTGCAGCTCCAATTGCCGATACAGTCTGACCTTCATGTTTTAAGACAGCTGGATAAAAGCTTGCTGACTGAGCGTGTAAAAAATAAAACCACAATACGGATGTGGAATCTTCAAAAAAGTTTTTTAGTAACAGGGGACATTTTTCAATACTCAAAAAGACTTTTAACGGCTGATACAATTTAAAACCCTCTTCAAAGCAGCCATAAGAGCAAGCCATCTGGTTTTGCTATAGCCGAGCATTTGTTGATATTCCGTTTCAGTTTCGGCACAGAACTCCTTTAGAGCTTCAACTCGAATCGTATAAATAAAAAAATATATATATATATTCACAATAACGCTTTCGTAATCTACGGGTAGACCATCTGCAGCAGATTTTATTGCATTGTGAATTACAGGGCTCCACATCCAATACCTATTAATTCTTTTTTCAGAGATGATTGTAATTTCGTTAATACTTGTTAGTTCCTCGCCTAACTGCACCTCCGAAATTGACGTTTGCATTGTCCCCCCACAAATGCTACGACTTTTGCTGTCAAATTATTATCTGTCAACACTTGGTTTAAATAATTGACAATGATGTCAGAAGTTTTACCAGGTTGGTCTTGGAAATCTAAAATTTTTACTTGCACACCTACGTAAGGTTGAAAAAAGCGCACTACAATGGGGTATATTTTCTTGTTACCGTGGTTTGACGCTTCGTTTAGTATTGTAAAACAATTGCACTTATCACTTTTAATTCTTTCATTGCTGTAGGCGTCAAAACATTTACTACAATAGCTTCTGATTTCGTACGCGCGCATGTAAATTTGGGATCAAAACATGATTGAATCAATTTCGATGCACAATCATTAGAACGAAAACTGTGATTTTCTTGTATCTTGTGATAAGCCCAGACGCCTTCTGCCGCGGCGATATCCAAGTCCTTCAAAGTTTTCTTGAAATTTCTTGAAAAATTTTAACAATGAGAACTCGAAGCGGCGGCACGATCGGCATTTTTATGTTTGCGAGACTTTAAATGCTGTTCAATATCACCGCCCCCACTGTGAGAAACACTAAATTCTGTACAACACTTTTCACATCTGACGGAGTATGTATTTGCTTGATAAACGGATATTTTTCTTGTAAGCTAACATTGAACGAACACTTGCGTTTCGGCATTTAAACTTGTGATTCCGAAGCAAAAGAATTTAAATTATTTACTACACGAGCATCAAACAAACAAACAAATAGCGAGAAGTGGGCAAATGAGAAGTTTGTCAAACAATAGTCAATAAGTCAACAAAACACGAGCGATATGACGTCTTGGCCACTCTCGGCTATTGTTGCGTCGACGACGAAGCGGTCTCGCTCTCGCACACCGCTAGCTCGCGTCCGGTTGGTGCGGGAGTCACATCGTGGCGGCGTGCAGGGCGGTGGCCGGCCGTCTGCTACTCAAATTTTCGCGCGGTTTCTGAAAACGGGACAATTTTGCATCCCATAGTCCATTTTGGGGACACCGGAACTCGTAATTGTAAAAAGGGACAGTCCCGTTCAAAACGGGACGTCTGGTCACGTTATCTATGACTCAAGCCGTTGTAAGTTAATTTTCTTGTTTGCAAAATTATTTTTCTAATAATGTCAATAAGACTACCCCTACATGTCGCTCCTCACTCTATGAATTACAAGCACAGAAAATAATAATAAATTTTAAAATAACCTAAATTAAACAGTAAAAATACTAAATTACGAAACCAAAGCATACTGAAAGAAAAATTTGAAAAATTGTACACATTTACTTTCGAAAGCGTTATTCCTTTAAATTAGAGATGTACTGACATTTCGCAATTATTTTTTGTTTCTTTTAACCTCCGAATATGCCATATTACAATGTCGCCCTTAAACTAGAAGAGAAACCAGCTAACTTGACAATCAAAATCGTAAAAACAACCTTGTATTTAGCGTAGGTATAATTGAAACACTCAACTCGATTTCGAGGGCAGCTTAAAGGTCCCTCCTCATCAGGAGAAAGAAATACCTAGAAAGAAAAAATAAAGGAGAAGGAGTCTCAAAAACACGTGGTCCTTATCAGCACTGCACGTGGTGATAACTGGATTTTTAATCAAAGTTGCACTGGCCGCCTACTTTTACTGAGCCAGGCTATCTGATTAATCATAAAGGACAAGAAAAATTAGCGAAATTAAAAATAGGGAGCGAGGAGCAAATGCACCTTCAAGTTCAAAGTCTGAACTTCAAATAATGGAAAGCAACCACTGAACGGATTTTTATACTCTCTGGTAGTACCAAACGCGAGGAGGTAACGCCATCTATCGGCAAAAATAACTGAATTAAGATAGTAAAATTTTAAAGGCATTGGGAAGGACTGGATTGGACTTCAAATCATTAACTAAACCTGCCAAATCTTTGTGAATGTGAAAAGCCTCAAGAAAATCCAATTCACCTATGGAAGAAGCCTTTCGGATAATTTTTGCAGACCCAAAGTCAAAATTATGGTTAAATGTCCAACTATGATACGCTATTGAAGACTTGTTAATTTCGCCTTTTCTGACATAAGATTCATGTTCCGTGATACGAAACTTCAACGCTCTTTTGGTTTGGCCAATATATCTTAAACCACACTGACACGATATACTATAAATTCCCCAAGAATTCAAGACAGAAACGCAATCTTTTAGAATCGAAGGGTGAATTTTATTAATAGGGGAGAAACCGACTTGAAAATTGAATTTCCGGAGAATCCGTGCAATTTTATAGCTAACAGAAGGATAAAATGGAAGCATGACAAGGTCATTCGTGTTATTTCTAACAGTGGAATGTCTTCTTTGATGGGAATCTGAAAAATTTTTAACGGCTTTATCAATAATCACGGGAGAAAAATCCACGGTCAATCGCAACTGCTCTCAAATAATTAAGTTCATTGGTAAGCAAAGATTCAGAGGAACAAACTTTAAGCGCGCGGAATACATAATAGTAAAAAGAAAGCCATTTTTTTTGCTTAACAGGGTGGCAGGACTTGGCATGGGGTGGTAAACAAACTGCAAAGGGTTTACGGTACACGGTGGTGCTAAAATCAGTTTCATTGCGGATTATAAGAATATCAAGGAAGGGGAGGGAATTGTTGGATTCAATTTGAAGAGTGAATTGGATGGCTGGATCAATTGATTTCATAATAGAATCTCGGATAAATCCTGTTTATAACCGTCAAAAAGTGCGAAAGTGTCGTCAACATACCGAATCCAAATACGAAAAGATAGTTTATCAAATAATTTTATCTCAAAATAGTGCATATAATGTCAGCAAGTACGGACTGAGAGGATTACCCATAGCCAAATCCTTCAACTTGACGAAAATATGCATTTTGGAAAAACAAAGTGGGTTTGACTCAGAGAAACTTTAGTAAGCGAAACCAACTCATTAATTTCAGTATGGTGTGAAGTGAAATTCCCGAAGCCTAGTTTCAAGACAATTTAGTGCTCCTTCGACCGGAACATTAGTAAACAGTGATTTGACATCAAATGAAACCATAATGGAACAAAGTGGAGAAATATTTTTAAGTTTATCAATGACTTCAACAGAACTTTTTACAGTGTGAATATTGTTAGCAAGTAGAGGAGAAAATCTGGAAACTAAATATTTGGCCAAATGATATGAAGCAGTACCTATGTTGGAAAAAATTGGTCGAAGAGG